CTAGATTGCGGCTTGACAGCTGTTCATTTTCAGAAGTAAATCTGAATTTCTCCCTAACACCACGTGCAAAGTAGAATCCACGAGGATTCGAGACATGCACATGAAACACGGAACTATAGAGGGAATGGAAGGGGGCGTAGGGCAATGTGTGGCCCAGGCTTGGGGAAAGACTTCTTAAAATTTCAAAAGCACAAACATTAAGGTGATTTTTAAAGTGATATTGAAGCATGAACATTGAGGATTTCTGTTCAAAAAAGGATATCCTGAAGTTAACAGGCAGACGGAAAATGGGGGAAAGATGTTGGCATTGTCTAGAACTGACGCGGGAATAATATCCAGGACAAACAAGAAACCTGGAATAGCTAGAAGCAGCAACCTCAAGGCAAAAATGAGCAAAGGAGGCATGCAGAGGGCTCACGTGGGGGCGTGGGGCCGTGCGCAGAGGGCTCATGTGGGGAGTGTGGGGCCGTGGGCAGAGGGCTCACGTGGGGGCGTGGGGCCGTGCGCAGAGGGCTCATGTGGGGAGTGTGGGGCCGTGCGCAGAGGGCTCATGTGGGGAGTGTGGGGCCGTGGGCAGAGGACTCAGGTGGGGGTGTGGGGCCGTGGGCAGAGGGCTCACGTGGGGGTGTGGGGCCGTGGTGGGCAGGAGGGCTCACGTGGGGTGTGGAGGCCTGGGCAGAGCTCACGTGGGGTGTGGGGCCTGTGGGCAGAGGTCCACGTGGGGTGTGGGAGCCGTGGGCAGAGGACTCAGGTGGGGTGGTGGTGGGGCCGTGGGCAGAACTCAGCTGGTGTGGGCAGTGTGCAGGAGGGGCTTCACGTGGGGATGTGTGGCCGGTGGGCAGAGGGCTCACGTGGGGGGTGTGGGCCGTGGGCAGAGGGCTCACGTGGGGGTGTGGGCCGTTGGGCAGAGGGTCACTGGGGGGTGTGGGGCCGTGGGCAGAGGACTCGTGGGGTTGGGCCGTGGGCAGGAGGGTCACGGTGGGGGTGTGGGCGTGGGCAGAGGGGTCATGTGGTGTGGGCGTGGCAGAGGACTCAGGTGGGGGTGTGGGGCCGTGGGCAGAGGCTCACGTGGGTGGTGGGCCATGGGCAGAGGACCTCAGGTGGGGGGTGTGGCCGTGGCAGAGGGACTCATGAGTGGGGTGTGGGGCCTTGGGCAGAGGGCTCACGTGGGGGTGTTGGGGGCCATGTGCAGAGGGCTCACGTGGGGGTGTGGCCGTGGTGCAGAGGGCTCACGTTGGGGGTGTGGGCCGGTGTGCAGAGGCTCACGTGGGGTGGTGGGGCGTGGCAGCAGGGCTCACGTGGGGGGTGGGGCAGTTGGCAGAAGGGCTTCACTGTGGGAGTGGGGGCCGTGGCAGAGGTCACGTGGGAGGGTGTGGGCCGTGGGCAGGAGGGCTCACGTAGGGTGTGGGGCCGTGGCCAGGGCTCACGTGGGGGGTGGGCATGGGCAAGGGTCACGTGGGGGGTGTGGGGCCGGTGGGCAGAGGGCTCACTGTGGGTGTGGTGCCGGTGGCAGAGCTCACGGGGGATGTGGGGCCAGTCAGAGGGTCAC